TGCATGCGGTGTGCTGCTGCCTCCCGAAGCAGCAGCACGCCCTGTTGCTCCTCCTGCTGCTGCTGCTGCTGCTGTCAGGCGCAGCAGCCATCAGCATTCTTCTCTTCACGAGCACTTGGCTAGGGGAGGACGGGGCCCCACCATAGGCCCCTGCGGGGCCCCACACAGCAGCAGCAGCAGCAGCAGCAGCAGCACTTTTGCTGCGCTGCTCCTCTGCAGCACAAGCCCTGGGAAACCACAAAGGGCTCAGCAGCTCCTGAGCTAGCTGCAGCTCGAAAGCAGCAGCTAGCTGCTGCCGGCCACCTACAGCCTCCACTACAAAGCGCAGCAGCAAATCCTCTGCTGCTGCAGCATCGGGGCCGCAGCTTGCTGAAGCAGCAGCAGCAGCAGCTGCTGCTGCTGCTATCGTCGAGCCGCGGCCAGGCGCCGCCAAGGTGCAGCAGCAGCAAACGCACGCTGCCTTGCTGCTGCTGCTGCTGTTGCGAAGCAGCTTCAAGCTGCGTCGTGCTGCAGGCAGCAAGAGGCACAGGTGCTTCCCAGCCTCCTGCTGCTGCTGCTGCAGCAGCAGCAGCAGCGGCTGCAGAATCTGCAGGCAGCCAGCCTCCTTCTCGCCCAGGAAGCAAAGTGTCAGCAAACACTGCAGCGCGAGATGACAAGCAGCAGCAGCACTTAATCCTTTGCTGCTCTCTTCTTCTATGCATCTCCGCAGCAAGGCCCCAGCCCTGCTGCTCGCAGCAGCACCTGCTGCAGCTCCTGCTGCTGCTGCAGCGGGTGCTGCAGCTGGCTGCCACCACCCCCACATTGCTGCTGTTCGCTGCGGCGGCGAGCAGGCCGTTGCTACTGTCGCTGTCGCTGCTGCTGCTTCTGCTGCTGCGTGCGCTGCTGCTGCTGCTGCTGCTGCGCGTGCTGCTGCTGCTTCCTGAAGCGCTGCACACTGCAGCAGCTTTTCTGCGAAGCAAATGTCTCTCAGGGCCTCCATAGATTGGGGAAAGGCCCGGACAAGCTGCAGCAGCTGCGCAGCTTTGCTGCTGGTGACGGCTGCTGCTGCTGCTGCGACCAGCAGCTTCTCGGCAGCAGAGTGCTCCTCCGCCGCTGCTGCTGCTGCTGCTGCTGCTTCACAGAACCACTGGTCCTCTGCTGCAGCAG